CATACTCCCTGAGTATATGGAACATTCCTGAGAGGTGAGAGTGGAGGCGCAGAGCTAATGAGGGAGGTAGTGACCAAAGACCAAGAAATCTTTGTTTTTTAACTTTTGTTTTAAATTCAGAAGTATATGTGCAGGTTTTTTTGTTTGTTTGTTTTCCTGAGACGGAGTTTTGCTCTTGTTGCTCAGGCTGGAGTGCAATGACATGATCTTGGCTCACTGCAACCTCTGTCTCCTGGGTTCAAGCGATTCTCCTGCCTCAGCCTCCCAAGTAGCTGGGATTACAGGCATACAACACCACGCCTGGGTAATTTTGCACTTTCAGTAGAGACGGGGTTTCTCCATGTTGGTCAGGCTGGTCTTGAACTCCCGACCTCAGGTGATCTGCCCACTTCGGCCTCCCAAAGTGCGAGGATTACAGGCGTGAGCCACCGCACCCAGCCTATATGTGCAGGTTTGTTACATACATAAATTTGTGTCATGCGGATTTGTTGTACAGATTATTTCACCACCCAGGTATTAAGCCTAATATCCATTAGTTATTTTTCCTGATCTTCTCCCTCCTCCCACCCTTCACCCTACAAGACCAAGAAATCTTACTCCATCTTCAATTATTCCCATGTGGAGCGCTTAGTGCTTGAGGTCAGCCCTTTGGCTTGCCCCGGTCCTGGGATGGAGTGCATTTGGGGGCCAGGCTCCATATTCCTAGATTTTATTTGCCAACTCTGCCTGGGGACTCAGGGAAGGAAAGGTTAAATACAGAGAGCAGCTCTTTCAGCGAATAGTTCTGCTAGAACTTACTGCTCTGCGCCAAACTCTCACACCCGTTTCCATTCCACCAAGTGGGCAAGAGTGGGGACTTCGAGAGATGTAGACCTCCAGAAGAGAAGGGTGGGTCCCTGTTCTAGGCAGTGCTGCGTTTAATGAGTAGTACTTATTTGGAGGTGTGCTGTGGAGGGCTGTGAGGAGGATTTCCCATGGGCTCTTTGGGAAGAGGGGAGCGATAGAAATGAACCAGGTTTCCAAAGAAGTCTTCATAATGGTTCTTTCTGCCACCCTTCACACAAAGCCAGTCTACAAGCTGTAGTTTCACTTTTCTCAAGGGTGAAACTACACGGGGGGGAAGGAGCTTCAGTGGCCCAAGCTACAAGATGCTCCCTCTAGTGTCTTGCACGCTCACAAATTTTTTCCCGACCTTGGAGAGGCCTAGTGATCTAAAGCCTTCCACTTAAGTCTAAGGGGCCACCAATCAAGGCCTGCCCGCCTCTGCAGCTCCAGGGTTGAAGCTCTTGGGCCGTCACACCTGCCACTCATTTTCTTCCTCCCTTTCCATTGGCTCGTGGTAGATAGCGAGGCTTTTTTTTTATTATTTCATTGATTGGGCGGGGCCCAGTCAGGGGTGGGTTGGGTCTTTGACAGCTTTCTTTGCCAGATTCAAAGATGGCGCTCATGGCCACGCTAAGAATGCAGCGTGAAGCTGCAGTTCTGCCATCACTCAAGATGGCTGCCCCCATCAAGATGACCGGGGTGTGCCGGGGGGAAAGGGGCAGCATGATAGTCTGAGATGGTAAGGGATACTGCACCATTGCAGGCCTGGTCTTGGGGCCTGGGAATCAAGAGTAGAGAGACTAGGGAGCTAGGTGAGGTCTGTGGTGGGGGCTAGGATCAGAGAAAGGGAGAGAGGACAAGGGTGACAGGTGGGGGTGAGAGATCAAAGATGGGGCGGGAGTGTGCCTAGGGTTGTCTCTCCATGAGTGCTCTCCTTCCCTACTCTTCCTGTTCCAGGTCTAGCGTCGGACCATGTGGAAGTTTCTGAGACTAGGGAGCCGGATAATGGGGGGTGGGGCCCGTTGGAGGGTAAAGGGGCAATAGCGTCCTTTCACAGGCTAACCCCGGCCCTTCCCCGTCCTCTGGACTAAAATGGGGAACACATTGGGCCTGGCACCAATGGGGACTTTGCCCCGCCGGAGCCCCCGCCGAGAGGAACCCCTGCCCAACCCTGGGAGCTTCGATGAGCTGCACCGGCTATGCAAAGGTGAGAACTTGGCATTGGGGTCTCAAGATGAAGGGGCAGAGGAGTGGAGGGTCTTGAATGCTGGATGTCCGGCGATGAGAGCAGGAAAGGGGAGATCACAGCTGGGGCATGCAGCATCAGGGAGGATCAGGTGCCCAAATGAAGTGGAGCATTTCATTGCAGGACTTGAAAGGAGGTTAATTCCTCCAAAGTGTTCCCTGTGGAATTGAAAGGGGAGACTACCTTTTGGGGTAGTGGTTCTTTGTCTGTGCTTATTCCTTCCCTTCCCCTACCCCCTTCAGATGTATTCCCAGCACAGATGGAGGGCGTGAAGCTCGTTGTCAACAAGGTTCTGAGCAGCCATTTCCAGGTGCTCCCACTTCTCTGGCCCCTCCTTACTATTCCCCCTTTCCTGTCCCTGGATCATCTTCTCCTTTCCTTTGTACTCCAGCCCTAGCCAGTCTATGTGGGACAAACGAGGGAGGATGTGGGGTTCTCTTTACCTCCCTGCCTGTGGGACTTGTTGCTTTTAATCCAGTGACCCTCTCTGTATATGTTGGAATATTTGGGATTCGTGAGAGGCCCTCTGAATGGGGAAAAGATTAAGGGTGGGATAAGGGATTGAGGTGGAGCAGGAATGCGCTTTTCTCCACTGACTCCTCTTTCCTCAGGTGGCTCACACTATACACATGAGTGCCCTGGGCTTGCCGGGATATCACCTCCATGCGGCCTATGCAGGGGATTGGCAGCTCAGTCCCACTGAGGTGAGGGCTCCACACACCTGGGTCATCTCCCTAAAAGCCAATCTGGGACCCAGGTCTGGAGGAAGAGGAATTGTGTGTGTTATGGGGAGGAATGGGCCGTAACCTGACTTTTGTGTCTCTTCTGAATGGGAGAGGGTAGAGAAACATTTTCTGTGAAGAGCCCAGAGTGTGTCTTTGTGACTCCACCAGGGGGCGCTGTGCACTCTTAATGAAGTTCTATATTTGGGTTTAGACTGAGTGATGCCATCCGGCTCAGCCTTACTACTGTGTATACCCTTCCACAGGTGTTCCCCACTGTGGTAGGGGATATGGACAGCAGTGGCAGCCTGAACGCCCAGGTCTTGATCCTCTTGGCAGAGCGGCTCCGAGCTAAGGCTGTCTTCCAGGTGACCACAATTCCTGCCTCCGTCCCCTGAGGCACTTCCTCTCTCCTTCATGGGTTTCCTGCTCTGAGGGCTTGGAAGGAGGAGCAGAGTCAATAATGATCATAAAGAGGGAGGGAGATTTTACTTCTTGCTCTTGCCATTCAGACGCAGCAGGCCAAGTTCTTGACATGGCAGTTTGATGGCGAGTATCGGGGAGATGACTACACAGCCACTCTGACCCTAGGAAATCCTGACCTGATTGGGGAGTCGGGTGAGGAACTGGGACAGGGTTCTTTTTATCTTGGCTGCCCATTTGCTAATGTTACTATGCCTCTTCATCTTCTGTACAGTTTGGAGTGTAGAAAAGGAACTTCTTGGGCATGCTGGGGTGGCGGTTATTGGGGGTGAGGGAGCAGGTCTGGGTGTTGTCTCTATGACTGACTCCATGTCTCCCCGTTCCCCCACAGTGATCATGGTTGCTCACTTCCTGCAGAGCCTCACTCATCGGCTGGTGCTGGGAGGAGAGCTAGTTTATCACCGGCGGCCAGGCGAAGAGGGGGCCATCTTGACACTGGCTGGGAAGTACTCCGGTATGGGGCGAAGTGAAGTAGTGGTGGGTAGGGGGGGAAATTCTGAACTTTTCTGGGGTTCCTGGCCTGTGTCATACTACAGTTAACACTCCTTCCCCTCTGTACTTTGGATTTTACAGCTGTACACTGGGTAGCTACATTGAATGTGGGATCAGGCGGGGCCCATGCAAGTTACTACCACAGGGCAAATGAACAGGTGAGACCTCTGATCTCACTCCCCCTCCTCGTCAGCAAGTCAGTCGTGAACTTTTGCTCATCTGGACCTCTATCGCCCTGCTGACCTATTTTTCTTCCTACCACGCTGTGTATATATTTCCATGTATGCCTTCATTCTGCTGATCCCCCGTCAGGACCCTTCTGGTCTTCACTGATACTGATCTCTCTCTCATCCTTGCCCATGGTTCTCAGGTTCAGGTTGGAGTGGAGTTTGAGGCAAACACAAGGCTACAAGACACAACATTCTCCTTTGGTTACCACCTGACTCTGCCCCAGGCCAACATGGTGTTTAGAGGTGAGGGTTATTGGGAGACATTTGGCTATGCTGAGGAATGGGGAATGCAGAGGGAGGGAAACTTTACCTTATTTCTGGTGACTATTTCCTCCAATCCCTGTTAAATAACCTAGTGGGTATTCTCTCCCCCAACAGGCTTGGTGGATAGTAACTGGTGTGTAGGTGCTGTGCTGGAGAAGAAGATGCCCCCTCTGCCTGTCACCCTAGCCCTTGGAGCCTTCCTCAATCACTGGCGCAACAGATTCCATTGTGGCTTCAGCATCACTGTGGGCTGAGGTTGTCCAGAGCCAGCCCCACAGCAGCTGGAACCTCTGAGTCAGGTGCCCTAGGGCCAGAGACTAGGCCCCTCTCCAGAGCCCACCTTGCTGGGTGACCTCTAGGACCCAGGAGCAGAGTGGCGGATAGGACCATGCCCTCCTCAGAACTGGAGCTGCCACAGGGGCAGTTGATGAGGCAGAGGTTTGAGGATCGCCCCTCTGCTACCAGCCCCAGTATCACCTTCCCGATGCTCCTGTGGCTCTGGACTAAGGGGAAAGGATTAAGGGGTATGGCTGAATTCCCCCGGCACTCCTTGCCTCCAGGCTTCCTTCTTCCTTTCCCTTTGGTTAATCCTGCATGGGATTAGCTGACCATCCTGTTTTCCATCCCAGAGTCTCCCAAGGCTGGGAAAGTAGGGCTGAAGGGCTAGATATTTGGTCTCAGAAAGTAGGGCCCACCCATTCCCAGAAGGAGCTTCTTTACCTCTTAGCCCTGAGGCTTCCTCCTTCCCATCTTCTGTGCTTCCAGAGAACAACTTTGTTCCTATGGCCAACCCCACTATCCCCATGACCGCATGAAGAGGCAGTTATTGCTTTAGTCTTTCATTGCAACCACTGGGCTCCCTTTGAACCCGGCCCAATCTTTGGTCCCAGCATTTCCCCGCTCCAGTGTATCCAGGGTGTCCAGGTGATCTGGGGAAGGAAGTGAGCCTGGTCTCAGCTGCAGATCTCCTGGAGCAGTGGCATCATGGCAGACAGGCCCTGGATGTGCTGGATTTGGTACCCGTAGGCCTCATTAATGCTCCGGAGCTCAGCCAGCAGGCCCAGCAACTTCGCATACAGAAACCTTTGGAGGAAGTAGTGGGTTGCCAGGAAAACAGGAGGGAAATAAGGCAGTTGGGAGTCTTGTCTTGAAGCCCTGATCCCCTGAACTATTCCTCAGTGAAGCCAGGTCTGAACATTAGAGAAAATCATGCTCTGGTATGACAGATGATCAGAGGTTCCAAAGGGTCCTCCAGGGGGCCTCAGTCTGACACTGTCTTCTCTCACCGTGCTCAGTTTTTTCTGAACCCAGAGCTCTGAGGGCCACGTGTGAAGAAAGTTCCAGACTTGGCCAGAACTCCAACTGTGTGGAATCTGAGGGCCTGGCCTTCTAGAGCAGGTTCTAGAAGGTGGATGTGTTCTATGGTATAAAGCATCCCCTTTCTGGCCAAACTAGCTCTTGGAGGAATGAGCAAAACAGAAGTGGTGCATACCTCTTCCCGGATAAATCACAGACTATTGAACCTGGAACTGGCTTTGGCCATGAAACTGTGAATTGCCATAACTTCAAGGGAAATGAAAAATCAAAGGAATTGGCCCAATGGCGAGGAGAGGAAAGGCCAAGGGAAGAGAAATGCCTGCGTTAGTCTGGAGAGTTGGACTAGTGAGGTGATGGATGTCATCAATCTCAGGAATGCTATTACCCAGAGCCTCTGAGCTACTACTTTGCATCTGTACTGAATAAAAAGAAAAAAAAATCTGGAAAAAGTGAGATGAAACAGCAGTATCCAAATTCAGTAATTTGGAGGCTGAAACGATGTGAGACAGGGATGGCCAGGGGAAGGACTAGACCCCAAGATACCTGAATTCACTAAGGAAAGGACAGTAAAAAAACATTCCTCCCACGCTCAATGGTTCGCCAACCCCTTCCCTGCCCTGGTGTGGCCTCCAAGCCCTCAGTGTCCCACCGTACCGATCCCGGGGCCTTTGCTGCTGGCCCTTGATGTAGCTTTGCAGAGTCAGTGCCATCTCCTCTTGCAGCTGATCAATCTCATGTCTCTGGGTAACTCCAGGTCGGTCTGTAAGATAGGGAGCTGGGAAGGACAAGGTGGGTGGCAGGGGTGGGCCTGCATGGTGCCCCAGGGACCGAGGCTGGGAGGTTTGACAGCTAGGCTAGAAGGCCTAACCTAGTCTGCAGGTTTGACAGCTAGGCTAGAAGGCCTGGGGTGGATGGACTCAAGGAGCTGAATGTTTGGGCAGAGGTGGTGCAGCAAAAGGCTCTGGCTTTGGGAGATGCTCACCAGGAGAGAAGAGGGCCATGGCAGCCAAGAGCACATACTCAGGCTCCTGGAGCTGCAGTTTTCGTAGTGTTCCATGGAAGTGAAAGAGCAACTCCAAAAACTCTACCTGGAACCCCACTGCGGGAGATACTAGGATTAGGAGCCTCTAGGTCACCTGACCACATACTGTACCATGAGGACACATGCCCCTACTGCTCTAGCACCATCTCACCACGGGCTGCGTCTTCAATTGTGTAGCGAAGAGGCCCGCAGAGGAAGTTTTGTGTTTGGAGACAGAAAGTGGTATTGAGTACGATATGACAGATTTCCACAGCTGCTCCCTTGAGAAGGGAGATCTGGTCTTCAATGGGCAGAGAACTGTGGAAAACAGGAAACAAGGGCACTTTTCAATTTTTTTTTTTTTAGATAGAGTCTTGCTCTGTCACCCTGGCTGGAGTGCAATGGCACGATCTCTGCTCACTGCAACCTCCGCCTCCCTGGTTCAAGCAATTCTCCTGCCTCAGTCTCCCAAGTATCTGGGATTACAGGCATGTGCCTCCATGTCTGGCTAATTTTTTGTATTTTTAGTAGAGATGGGTTTTCACTATGTTGGCCAGGCTGGTGTCCAACTACTGACCTCAGGTGATCCACCTGCCTTGGCCTCTCAAAGTGCTGGGATTACAGGTGCAAGCCATCGCGCCTGGCCCACTTTTTAATTTTTTGTTTATTTATTTTTATTTTTTGTAAAGATGGGGTCTTACTGTGTTGCCCAGGCTGGTCTCGAACTCCTGGGCTCAAGCAATCCTCCTGCCTTGGCCTTCCAAAGTGCTGGGATTATAGGTGTGAACCACTGTGCCCAGCCGACAAGGGCACTTAATTATTATTCTTATTAATTAATTAATTTTTGAGACAGAGTGTTGCTCTGTCACCCAGGCTGGAGTGTAGTGGCCTGATCTCAGCTACAGCAAACCTCCTCCTAGGTTCAAGTGATTTTTCTGCCTCAGCCTCCTGAGAGGCTGGGATTATAGATGCACACCACCACACCCAGCTGAGTTTTGTATTTTTAGTAGAGACGGATTTTACCATGTTGGCCAGGCTGATCTCAAATTCCTGAGCTCAAGTGATCCACCCGCCTTGGCCTCTCGAAGTGCTGGGATTACAGGCATGAGCCACTGTGCCTGGCCTATTATTATTATTTTTAGCTTTCATTTTTTGAGACAGAGTCTCACTCTGTCACCCAGGCTGGAGTACAGCGGTGCTATCTCGGCTCACTGCAGCCTCAACCTCCTGGACTCAAGTGATCCTTCCACTTCAGCCTCCCAAGTAGCTGGGACTACAGGCACCCACCATCATGCCCAGCTAATTTTTGTATTTTTTGTGGAGATGGGGTTTTGTCATGTTGCTGAGGCTGGTCTCAAACTTCTGGACTCAAGCGATCTGCCGGCCTCCACCTCCCAAAGTGCTGGGATTACTGGTGTGAACCACTGCGCGGCACCTCAAGGGCACTTTAGATGCAAGCCTGTACTTCAGAGATGGAGAAGAACTCCCAATTCTGATTGGCACAGTTAAAAACAAAGCTGGGAATTCAAGACCTAATGCTTGGAAAGGCTGAGGCATGTGTTAATTTGTTGTCAGTGACTTTTCGGGGTGGATATACAAGTTGCTGAAGTGTTTGCCTCCTGAAAGATGAGGGGAGGTCACTCACCGGAAGACAGGCAGGTCCTTGGTAAACTTGATGACTTGCTGTACCATGAACGTGTTGACGTCTGCGAAATGTGTGACCAGAGGCAGCACAGGCGCCAGGGTGGGCAAGGGCTGGTGATGGATGAACAGATGAGCTGGAGGCTGCAACGATCAGAACATTAGCTAGAGGCCCTGGCCCTAGGGCCCTCCTTCAGGCCTCGCCAGCCTTATCTTGGAAGAGTTCCTAGCTGAGAAGCCTGCTTAAGGCCGGGGTTCTGGAGATCCATCCTCAGTATTGGTGCATGGCATATACCCCTTTCTCTCAGACCAGCCTTTTTGGGTGCCCTTTTCGTTTGTATTCCAACCCAAATCCTGTCGGTGCTCACCCTAAACTGCACAACTGTTCAAACATGGTGCCCATGTGGCGGGTGTGGGCCCCCAGGAGTGTCTGGATCAACTCTTCTTGCTCATTACTCAGTTGCATAGGTGTTTGCTGTGCCCGCCGCTGGGCCTGCTTTGCTCGCCGCAATGCCAGGGGCTTCTGCCGACAGTATCACTGTGCAGGGCAAGAGATCATGACAAAGCTGTTGAGACCAGCAGAGCACTTCTCTCTGCTGGTCCCTGATCTGGGGCCCCTCAGCCACCCTGCACAACGAAGGATGGGGGGAATGGGGGAATTCCTGAGGTTTCTTGGGCTTGGCTAAAGTCCTAGAGGCTCCAGGAGGCAGGGGGTTCCTATACACTTCCACCAACCTATGAAGAACTACAGCAGAAAACTGCACCATGGGAGAGAAGGGAAGGGTGGCGAGGAAAGTAGGAGAGATGTGAGGAAAGGTGCGAGGGCTTTTGGGGAAACAGTGTAGAGGGAAGGGTCTTGATATCTAGAGCATCACCTTATGTGATATTTTAAATGATCCTTCAAAAATAATCAAATAATCCTTTCAAATAAACACTTACCTGGTGTTTTAGCAAAATTTCAAAACTTCTGAAGTTAAATCCCACTGAATGAAACAACCCCAGGATAGGCAGGGCTGGTATTAATCATATATATATATAAAATTATATATATATATGTATTTGTCTGTTTTATTTTGTTTTGAGATGGAGTCTCTCACTCAGTCGCCCAGGCTGGAGTGCAATGGAGCAGTCTTGGCTCACTGCAACCTCCACCCCCTGGGTTCAAGCAATTCTCCCTGCCTCAGCCTCTGGAGTAGCTGGGATTACAGGCACCCACCACCACACCTGGCTAATTCTTGTTTTCTTTCTTTTTTTTTTTTTTTTGTATTTTTAGTAGAGACGGGGTTTCACCGTGTTGGCCAGGCTGGTCTCGAACTCCTGACCTCAAGCGATCCACTCACCTCGGCCTCCCAAAGTGCTGGGATTATAGGCATGAGTCACCATGCCCAGCCTAACTAATCATTCATATCTATCTATCTATCTATCTATCTGTCTATCTATCTATCTATATTTTTTTTTTGAGAAAGGGTTTCACTCTTGTTGCCCAGGCTGGAGTGCAATGGCGTGACCTTGGCCCACTGCAACCTCCGCCTCCTGAGTTCAAGCGATTCTCCTGTCTCAGCCTCCCAAGTAACTGGGATTACAGATGCATGCTATCACGCCCAGCTAATTTTTGTACTTTTAGTAGAGATGGGGTTTCATCATATTGGTAAGGCTGGTCTCGAACTCCTGACCTCAGGTAATCTGCCTGCCTCAGCCTCCCAAAGTGCTGGGATTACAGGCGTGAGCCACCGCACCCAGCCCAGTCATATTTTTTAGAAATGTAGACAGGCTTAGATTCCAGTGGCAGGACCAAGGTCACAAAATAAGTAATGTAGATTGAATTCAAACCAAAATCTTTTGACTTCTACAAAAGATCCAAGATCGAACCAAGATCTGGAATTCAGACCAAGATCTTTTGACTTCTACAGTTTCCTTTCATTCTTCCACAGTGAGAATTGTGCGATATGGAAAAAGCAAGTTTTTGGGAGTCAGGTAAATTTGAGTTTGAATACTGACTGTACAACTTCTTCCTTCTTCTTCTTTTTCTAGAGAGGGCATCTCTGTTGACCAGGCTGGTCTCGAATTCCTGGCCTCAAACAATCCTCTTGGCTCAGCCTTCCAAAAGTGCTGGGATTAGAGGCATGAGCCACCACGCTTGGCCTGCACAAGTTTTTAGTTGAATTAACTTGGGCAAATTAACTTCTGTGAGCCCCAGTTATATCATCCTTTGGGAGCATAGCACAGTTACTTCGTACAGAGAAAACATTAACTAATTCAATTATTGAGCACCTACTAGGTGACAGGCACTATGCTCAAGAGATAGAAAATAAAAAACACACCTGTAATCCGAGCACTTTGGGTGGCAGAGGTGGGCAGATCACCTAAGGCTAGGAGTTCGAGACCAGCGTGGCCAACATGGTGAAAGCTCATTTCTACTAAAAATACAAAAAATTAGCTGGGCGTGGTGGCACATGCCTGTAATCCCAGCTATGCAGGAGGCTGAGGCAGGAGAATCGCTTGAACGCAGGAGGTGGAGGTTGCAGTGAGCCAAGATGGCACCACTGCACTCCAGCCTAGGCTATAGAGTGTGAGACTCCATCTAAAAAAAAAAAAAAGAAGAAAAGAAAAGAAAAAAGCTAGCCATGTGGATATCTAGGACAAAAGCATTTTAGGTAGAGGGAATGGCAAGTGGAAAAGCCTTGGAGAAGAGTGTGCTTGGTGTTTCTAAGGATGACAGTGTAGCTAGAATTGATTGAGTAAGGGGGAAGAGTCTGATAATAAAGTCTGAAAGGTGTTGTGGGAGAGCTAGATCATGAGATCATGTACTTTGAGATGGGGAGCCATTGGAGGTCTTGAGTGAATACTGACATAATCCGACTAGTTTCAAAAAGAGTACGGTGCCTGCTATGTAGAGAACGCACTGTTGGGAACAAGGACAAAGCAAACAGACACAGTCAATGCATTCTTGGGATGTAGGGGGCCAACTCACTGTCTTTCCTCATGCCAGCATCTAAGCACTTCTGCAACCTGCAGGCTGGGCAGTGGCGCCTCTGAATCTTGCTGACTTCACAGCTTCCAGCAAAGGGGCAGGTGGGACCAATGCTTTTGCTGACTGTTCTCCTGTGAGATACAGAGATGTTGTTAGAGTCTGGGATGCAGTGAACAGACACATGGATGGGTGAGGGGCTGAGATGACATGGTCTAAAAGACCTGGGAATCTGGTGAAATGGACTAATCTGAGCTGTGCCCAAAGGTCCCCAGGGGTGGATAGGGTCCAACACATCTCAAGCATTTCCATGGCAACACAGGATCACTCCGGAAAGCCTAGTTGATGTAGTACTAGCTAGGTGCTTCACAGGCAGTGGGTACGTAATAAGTGCTCTTGACTAATGGGCTGTGTCCATCAGACAAACATTTAGCCTTCCCTCCGTTATGCCGCCAGTTTATACAGTGATGTGTTTGACAAGATGTAGGTTGCCATCCACAGGGTAATTAGACTCTCAGATAAAGGAGTAATGTAGCTGGACAGGCTTAGGCACCAGCGAGGGTGTAAAGGCTGACTGATAGGGAGTTTGGTTTGGACGGCTGTTTCCACTGGGGAGGAGACTCTCACCTGAAGAAACCCTTGCAGCCCTCACAAGTCAGCGCGTTGAAGTGGTAGCCTGTGGCCTGGTCCCCACATACCACACAGTTCCTCAGCTCATCTTCCCTACTGGCCATGACATCAGGTGTTGGGGTGGCTGTTACAGACTCCTGAATGTGGGAGGGGTCAGCAGTCAGTTCTGGGCCACGCTTGACCCTTTTCTGTCCCTTCTACAGAGTCTCTTTCCAAACCAAACCAAACCTGTCCTTGACTTGATCCCCAGCATTATCTTTTGTGTGTTTCTTTTCTTTTTCTTTTTTTTTTTTTTTGAGACAAGTTCTCTCTCTGTCACCTAGGCTGGACCTCTGCCCACTGTAACCTCCGCCTCCTGGGCTCAAGCTATCCTCCCACCTCAGCCTCCTGAGTAGCAGGGACTACAGGTCTGGACCACCATCTCCAGCTAATTTCTGTTTATTTATTATTATTAATTTTTGTAGAGATGGGGTTTTGCCATGTTGCCCATGTTGCTTTTTGGTTTGTTTGTTTTGTTTATTTGTTTGTCTGTTTTTTGAGATAGAGTCTCACTCTGTTGTCTAGTGTTACCTAGGCTGGAGTGCATCATAGTTCAATGTAACCGCACACTCCTGGGCTCAAGGGATCATCCTGCCTCAACCTCCTGAGTAGCTGGGACTATAGGTACACACCATCACACCAGGATATTTTTTCTTTTCCTTCCTCCCTCTCTCCCTCCCTTATTCCTTTCTTTTGTTTTTTGTTTTGTTTTGTTTTGTTTTCCTGAGACTGAATCTTGCTCTGTCGCCCAGGCTGGAGTGCAGTGGCGCAATCTTGGCTCAATACAACCTCCGCCTCCCAGGTTCAAGTGATTCTCATGCCTCAGCCTCCTGAGTAGCTGGGATTACAGGCATCCGCCACCACACCCAGCTAATTTTTTATTTTTAGTAGAGATGGGGTTTCACCATATTGGCCAGGCTGGTTTCAAATTCCTGACTTCAAGTGATCCTCCCACCTTGGCTTCCCAAAGTGCTGGGATTACAGGCGTGAGCTTCCGCGCCTGGCCTCTTTTCTTTCTTTTTTGTAGCGATGGGATCTGTTATGTAACCCAGGCTGGTCTTGAACTCCTGGGCTCAAGCGATCCTTCTACCTTGGCCTCCCAAAGTGCTGGGATTACACACGTGAGCCACCATGCCTAGCCCCCAGCATTATCTGTACTTTATTGCATTTAGTCTTTGGCTCCCAACAGATTTCCTACCTGCTTATCTTAGGCAGTATATCATCTGCAGGCCACAGAATCCGGTATGGAATGCCTTTCCCCAAACTCCCACGCTGTTGCTGGTTTTCCTCTGATCTCAGGAGTTACCAGTGATTGGAGTTAGGGATTATGACCCTTAGTACCTGGAAAACAAGAGATGTCTGTTTTATGTGGACTTCAGTGGCTCTCAGTGACTGTGGGGTTAGGGCACAGACCCTGGACTCTGGGCAAAGGTCTGGGTGGGAGGTTTTCCCAGCATGACAAAAGTGCTGGTTGGTGGCACATGGGGAGGGACTCTGGTGGGCGGGAACCTTGTGACTCATTGGAAGCTGCTTCTTATTAGACTCATCAAGATTCTCCCTGTTGATGAGTTTAAGGCTACATCTGCAACCTCCTGTGTACAGAGATCCTGAACAAGCTGGGAAGAGAGAGAGAGAGAGAGAGAGACAGACAGACAGACAGACAGAGCAAGCTTTTTCACACACAGTATGTCAGTACTAAAAGAAGAGGTGTGGGCCGGGCACGGTGGCTCAAGCCTGTAATCCCAGCACTTTGGGAGGCCAAGATGGGCAGATCATGAGGTCAGGAGATCGACACCATTCTGGCTAACACGGTGAAACCCCGTCTCTACTAAAAAATACAAAACACTAGCCGGGCGTGGTGGTGGGCGCCTGTAGTCCCAGCTACTGGGGAGGCTGAGGCAGGAGAATGGTGTAAACCCGGGAGGTGGAGCTTGCAGTGAGCTGAGATCCGGCCACTGCACTCCAGCCTGGGTGACAGAGCGAGACTCCATCTCAAAAAAAAAAAAAAAAAAAAAAAAAGAAGAGGTGTAATAAGGCTCCCCAAAAAAAAGTTTTTAAGAGACTAGAGGGGCCGGGCGCGGTGGCTCAAGCCTGTAATCCCAGCACTTTGGGAGGCCGAGGCGGGCGGATCACAAGGTCAGGAGATCGAGACCACGGTGAAACCCCGTCTCTACTAAAAATACAAAAAATTAGCCGGGCGCGGTGGCAGGCGCCTGTAGTCCTAGCTACTCAGGAGGCTGAGGCAGGAGAATGGCGTGAACCCAGGAGGCGGAGCTTGCAGTGAGCCGAGATCGCGCCACTGCACTCCAGCCTGGGCAACAGCGTGAGACTCCGTCTCAAAAAAAAAAAAAAAAAAAAAAAAGAGACTAGAGGCCCAGCACGGTGGCTCAAGCCTATAATCCCAGAACTTTGGGAGGCCGAGGCAGGTGGGTCACTTGAGGTCCGTAGTTCGAGACTAGCCTGGATAACATGGTGAAACCCTGTCTTTACTAAAAATACAAAAATTAGCTGGGCATGGTAGCACATACTTGTAATCCCAGCTACTTGGGAGGCTGAGGTGGGAGGATCACTTGAACTCAGGAGGCGGAGGTTGCAGTGAACTGAGATCATGCCACTGCACTCCAGCCTGGGCACAGAACAAGTGAGACTCTGTCTAAAAAAACAGAGAGAGAGACTAGGATCTAATTAAGAACTTATGCAAAGAACCCTCTCACTTCCTAACTAGGGAGGGCTGAGAATCAAATCAGAATGACCACAGGGCACAGAGACATGCCCTGTACATCCCCCCTACTCTGGAGATAGGTAGAGGATGGTTTGAGCCCAGGAGTTTGAATCCAACCTGGGCAACATAGCAAGACCCTATCTCTAATAATAATAATAATAATAATAATAAAGAGTGCTATTTTTTTAAAGTAATTTTTTTGGGCCGGGCAGGGTGGCTCATGCCTGTAATCCCAGCACTTTGGGAGGCCAAGGCGGGCAGATCACGTAGTCAAGAGGTCTGACCAACATGGTGAAACCCTGTTTTTACTAAAAATACAAAAATTAACTGGGGATGGTGGTGCACGCCAGTAGTCCCAGCTACTTGGGAGGCTGAGGCAGGAGAATTGCTTGAACCCGGGAGGCAGAGGTTGCAGTGAGCCAAGATCGAACTGCTGCACTCCAGCCTGGGTGACAGAGTGACCATGCCCGGCTAATTTTTGTATTTTTAGTAGAGACAGGGTTTCACCATGTTGGCCAGGCTGGTCTCAGACTCCTGACCTCGTAATCCACCTGCCTCGGCCTCCCAAAGTGCTGGGATTATAGGCGTGAGCCACTGCACCTGGCCTATTTTTCTTTGTTTTGCTATTATGTCTTCTGCTTCTTCACTTGCATTAAATTATAATTAATGTTTCTCTAAAGATGAGTTAAAACCCCAAGTGCAGGCTAGAGTCATAAACACACACACACACACACACACACACAGAGAGAGAGAGAGAAAGAGAGAGAGGGAGAGAGAGAGAGAGAGAGAGAGACTGAGTTAAAAAGATCCTTGTTTAGTTTACCAGAATGAATTGGTAGAACCCCTAATCTCAAGTGGTATAGCATCTAACTATGCATAACTTTGCACTTTGAAATAAACTGAGTTCCAGAGAGCACAGATGCTTGGATCTGTTCCTTGGGAGATGGTAAGAATATTTATGTGTATGTATCTGTTGGTGTCTTTGTGACTCTGACAATTCATACTAGTTTATTCAATCAACAAATATTGACCAAGAATCCACCTATGTCTTAAGACACTAGAGTTAAAAGATGAGTAAGATGCTCTCCTACTCTCATTCCCGCTAATGGGGGAAACAGACCTTTACACATATATAAAGAAATAGAGTCAGATCAGTGATGGTGCCATGCATAGAGCATTACGGCACTGAAAAAGTAGGGCGCTCAATAGGGGTATTGAGGAAGAGGCAGGAAAGGCTTTCTGGAGGTGTGGCAACTGAGTTGACTTTTAAAGGGTAATGATGAATTAGCCGGGGCGGGGGGGAATATAAAAGGCAGTTCAGGCAGAGGGTGCAGCCTGAGATGGTCAATAAGCCAGATACAAAAAGGTAGACATGGTAGAACCACAGATGGGCCTCTCTTGCTGGAGCATAACATTTCAGGCTGGGAGTGGGAAGAAATAAGGTTGGAGAGGTGCGATATAAGGCTGAGATGTAGGCAGATCACAGGAGACCTCATGTGTCAGGCTAAACACTGAGTCCATCAGGAAACTTTGAAAGAGAAAGCTGTGAAATGACATTGTCATATCTATATTCTAGATAGTTTAGTCTGCTGGCTGTTGGATTTGAGGGGGCAGGACTGAAGGCAAAGAGACCAGTTAGAAAGCTATAGCCACAATGTAGGCAAGAGAAGATTAAGCTGGAGCTAGGATAGTGGAAGGATGTAGGAGAGGAGAGGGTTTTGAGAAATACGTGGAAAGTGAAATTATTGGAATTTGGTGACTATTATAATGCCTGGATTAAGAAAGAAGACAAGGAATTAAAGATAACTCCAGGTTTCTGGCATGGGTGACTGAGTGGACGGTGGTACTGCCAACTGGGAGAGAGACTACAGGAGGAGGACAAGGGCCCTCCATACTTGGGTGCCAATCCATTTTCACAGTTGACAATTTACTCCAGTAATAAGTTATCAAGTGTCCACTCATGATTAGCACCAGAAGGAGAGACAAAAGAGAGTCCCTATTACAGAGACACTTCCAGATTAATTATGAAGACTGAATAAATAAATTGAATTCCTAGGTCTTAAAAGAAAATATATAATCAAACAAATGTTGTGGTAAAGACTATGTATAATATTATAGGTATTAATTGCTCCCTTAATTTATTCTTCTTGTGTACCCAGTATGAGCAGAGTACTATGTAAAATTCCTTGCCTGTGTTAACACTGTAAGATAGGTAATATCGTCATTTTACAGATGAGAAAACTGAGGCTCAGATTGTTTAGATAACTTATACAAGGGCCAATATACCCAACAGTTTATTAGATGACTCCACTTGGATTCACAAAGGCACCTCAAATTCAATATGTCTAAAATTGAATTGTCAACCCCCCCACAAACTAACTTTTCCTACATTACCTGACTTGATGACTAGTCCAATGTGAGAAAGTGGAAAGAACATGGGCTTTGGGGTCATATAGACTTATGTTCAAATTCCGACTGCTCTTGCTAGCTGAATTACTTATTCTTGCCGCTTCTCTAATTGTTTGCCATGACTGAGACCCAGCCCCATGGGGCTCTGAGAATCAGATATCATCAGGCTGAGCCAACACTGGACCAGGAAGGGAGGCACACTTCCTCTTCCTACATCAGCAGTGAATGCTTAGGGAGAAGTTAGGCTAGAAAGATGTTCTGGTCCAGGGCTGCCCTTCACCTGGGGCCAGGGATTACACTAAGCTTTGTTCTTCTTGCAGAAGTCCACCCTGAAGTTCTTTGAGATGGGGTTTCCTTTGGAACAGACTGCTTTGAGTTTGCTCTTCTGTGTACAGAAACCCTCCCCTGGCTTCAAGGTCTCTCTATAAAGCAGACAGAGAGTAGAATCTGCTGCAGGATGCCCCTGCATCCATAGCGAACAGGCTTTCAGGGTTAACTGATACCCTCACCCTCTTCCAACATGCCTCTTCCAGGCCAGGGTCTGAAAAACACCTGTGAGGATTGTGACCTGATGGGTTAAGCTCTCTGAATTTCAGTTTTCTTTCCTGGAAAAAAAGGGTTAATAACACTCGTTATCCAGGTTTGCTGTGAAGACTAAACAAAGTAATAAAGTAGTAAAATGTAAAATTCTTTACAAGGTGCTTGAAACATGCAAGGAAATCAACATATATTCATTCTCTTACCTTCTTCCTTTCCTTCCCCTTTTACTGCTGTCTTCTCCCAGATGCCAAACCAGAAATTGGTGAGTCACCTAGTCTCCTTTCTCTCCCTCATTCCCTATAAATGACCAAATGCCATGACCTGTCATCCTATCTTCTGACCTCTACATGCCCACTACCTCTTAGCTGCGTTTAGGCCCTCATCATTTTCCACTTACTGCTGCAGCAGACTATTCAATTATTCTCCCTGCTCCCAGCCTCATCTCCTTCCAACCCATCCTCCATGCTGTTGCTATTTCTAAAATGCAAATTTGATCGTGTCTCTTCCCTGCTAAAATTCTTCATTTGCTTTCCATCACCTTCAGGATAAAATCCAATCTCTTTAGCATGTCACACAAAGTCCTTTGTGATCTGGCCCCTATTTAATCACTCTGGGCTTCACCTATTCTGTCTCCACTTCCCTCCCCTGACCTAGCACATCACACTTTGGCTCTAGATGTGCTTAAGCATTTAGAGTTTCCCGAACAAGCTGTGCTCACCCACCTCTGAACATCTGCCCTTGTTGTTCCCTCTGGTTGGAATTGCCTCACACATCCTTATTTTCAAACCCTCCTCCCCTCATCCTCCTGATTCTCTTGGTCCTTCAGGCCTGGGTACTGGCAGATCACCTCAGTGAGCCTAATAGAGCTACACCTCTGTACACAAATTTGTCACAGCACTTATCACACTGCAGGACAACTGTCTGTTTCTTTCTGACTCTGTCAATCAACAGTGAATTGATGAAGTCAAGGGCTGCGCCTGTCATTTGGGGATCCTTAGGGTCTTATGTACTCCAAGCATATATAATAAATATTTATGGAATGAATAAATGGACTGGGATACAAATTAACATCTGATTTCAAATCCATGCTCTTTTCGTGCAACATCACATGCTATTGTTTGCGAATGAGTACGCTCATTCATTCAATAAATATGTAATGGGTATCTACTTTGTGCCAGGCATTTTGCTAGCACTATCTTCTGAATACATTTCTATTTCCCTTTTAGCTGCTTTCTTTTTTATTTTTATTTTTATTTTTTTTGAGATGGAGTTTCGCTCTTGTTGCCCAGGCTGTGAGTGCAGTGGCGTGATCTTGGCTCACTGCAACCTCTGCCTCTTGGGTTCAAGCAATTCTCCTGCCTCAGCCGCCCAAGTAGCTGGGATTACAGGCATGCACCACCATACCTGGCTAATTTTGTATTTTCAGTAGAGACTGGGTTTCACCATGTTGGTCGGGCTGGTCTCAAACTCCTGACCTCAGGTGGTCCACCCGCCTCTGCCTCCCAAAGTGCTGGAGTTACAAGTGTGAGCCACGGCACTCGGCCTAGCTGCTGTCTTCCAAAGCTTGTTTTTTTTTTTTTTTTTTTTTTGAGACAGAGTCTCACTCTGTCACCCAGGTCAGAGTGCAGCGGCTTGATCTTGGCTCACTGCAACTTTCTCCTAGTGATTCTCCCGCCTCAGCCTCCTGAGTAGCTGGGACTACAGGTGCACACCACCATGCCTGGCTACTTTTTGTATTTTTAGTAGAGACAGGGTTTCACCATGTTGGCCAGGCTGGTCTTGAACTCCTGACCTCATGATCCACCTGCCTCGGCCTCCCAAAGTGCTGGGATTACAGGCATGAGCCACTGCACCCGGCCTTTCATAGCTTTTTAAAAAAAAATTCTGAGACATGACCACTCCGGGAGGCGAGGCGGGTGGCTCACTTGAGTTCAAGACCAGCCTGGCTAACATGGTGAAACCTTGTCTCTACTAAAAATACAAAAAATAGCCAGGTGTGATGGTGGGTGCCTATAATCCCGGCTACTCAGGAGGCTGAGGCTTGAGAATGCCTTGAACCTGGGAGGCGGAGGTTGCAGTGAACTGAGATCATGCCATTGCACTCCAGCCTGGGTGACAGAGGGAGACTTTGTCTCAAAATATATAATTAATTAATTAAAAAATAAAACAAAATAAAATAAACTCTGAGACAGGTCTTGTTCTGTTGCCCAGACAGGAGTGCAGTGGTGTGACCACCACTCACTGCGGCCTCCACTTCCTGGGCTCAAGAGAATGAATTTCCTGCATTGGCCTCCCAGGTAGCTAGGACTACAGGTGCATTGCACCACACCTGGCTAATTTTGTTTATTTTTTGAAGAAACAGGGTCTCACTATATTGCCCAGGGTGGTCTTGAACTCCTTGGCTCCAGCAATCCTCCTGCCTGGCCAGACTCACATTAGTCTTCTAGTCCTATTCCTGACTCCTTTCATACTTCTAAACTGTTCCTACCTGCTGTTCCTACTTGCTATGTTTGCATTTGCTATCTGGCTGACCTCACTCAAGTATCTATCAAGCCAAATATCCAGTCTGGGCCTGTTGTGTCCTGTTTAGCCTCCCATATTCTGGCACAAACACTTCTTTGAACAGGAGGAGTTCCTTTCTTTTGAGCCTTATAATCTGGTTTTAATCTTCTTTCTTTAAATTTACCACCAATCTCCTATGATCTATTGAATTCAATGGGCTTTCTTTCATGTTTCTCCCAATCAACCATCCTCCCTTCTGCTTTTGACCTCCTAACAACTACTTTCTCTTCTTTGAAACTTTTTCTCACTAACCTCTATGATGTTACGTATTCTCGGTTCTCCATTTGTATTTCTAATAGGTCTTTGTTTCTTTCTTCTCTAATTGATCCTTCTTTTTTCTAGGCCCATGAGTTAGGAAAAACTACGAAAACTCTGGAAACTGTGGGGTTTTTTGTTCCCAAATGCTCCTTTTTTAAAAAATTTTGAGACGGAGTCTTGCTCTGTAACCAAGCCTGGAGTGCCGTGGTGTGATCTTGGCTTACTGCAACCTCCACTTCCTGGGCTCAAACAAGCCTTGTGCCTCAGCCTCCAGAGTAGCTTGGATTACAGGCGCCCGCCACCACACCTGGCTAATTTTTGTACTTTTAGTAGAGACAGGGTTTCGCCATGTTGGTCAGGCTGGTCTCAAACTCCTGGTCTTAAATGATCCAGCTGCCTTCGCCTCCCAAAGTGTCGGGATTACAGGTGTGAGCCCCCACGCCCGTGACCTAAACTTGATCTTAACCTTCCTACCCTTCTTTCATGTTCTTCCCTAATGCTTAATTTCTACATGAGGCTCTGGTAAAAAGTAAAAATGTCTAATATTTTTTTTTTTTAATTTATTTATTATTATTATACTTTAAGTTGTAGGGTACATGTGCATAACGTGCAGGTTTGTTACATATGTATACTTGTGCCTTGTTGGTGTGCTGCACCCATCAACTCGTCATTTACATCAGGTATAACTCCCAAAGCAATCCCTCCCCCCTCCCCCCTCCCCCCTAAAATGTCTAATATTTTAACATCACAGTTCACAGTTTATATGCTTCATTTCATTTACCCTCATCTCAGTATGTGAATGTCTCCAAAATCTACAACTTTAGTTCCAGGAAATCTTGCTGTTCTTTTTATTTTTTATTTTATTTATTTATTTTTATTTTTTGTAGATATGGGGTCTCACTATGTTGCCCAGGCTGGTCTTGAACTCCTGGGCTCAAGGGATCCTCCTGCCTCGGCTTCTCAAAGTGCTGCAATTACAGGCATGAGTCACTGTGCCTGGCCAAATCTTGCTGTTCTTAGTAGTCACTCTTTGTTATTTTTATTTTTTTGAGACAGGGTCTCACTCTGTCACCCAGACTGGAATGCAGTGGTGCCATCATGGCTCAATGCAGCGTCAACCTCCTGAGCTCAAACAATCCTCCTGCCTCAGCCTCCTAAGTAGCTGGGACTAGAGGCACACACTACCACACTCAGCTAATTTTTATTTTTATTTTTTGTAGAGATAGAGTTCCACTGTGTGGCTCAGGTTGAGTAGTCACTTCTGATGTCTCTGCAGATTACATTTCATTCTGTTCCTTTCTCTGGACTCCCACTGTACTTGCCCAGACTTCTATCAGGTAACCTATGACAATACCATGCCTTTGCATTCACAGGACTGTCTCTCCCCTACTACACCATAAGCTGTATGTTGTGTAGGTTTTTCTACCCCAACACTCGGCATCTGTCCTGGTCATAATGTGTGCTTAACAGCTGATGAAAGATTGAAGAATTTTTCCCAATTTCCCAATCTTGAATTCCAAAGTCACTGTGAATCCTCCTCTAAATCTTTCTAGTCACCAAGTCTTGTAGATTTCTTATGTCATGTGTTTCCTGATGCTGTGCCTTCTCTTCTGTTACTGTCACTACACTCACCCAGGATCCTACACTTTGTACAACTGCAGCGTCCCCATCTTGGCCTTCCTGCTCTTAGTGTTTCTCTTGTCAAATCAGTCCCATGTTTCTTCTGCAAGAATAACCTAAAGGTGCTATTTGTATGAAGGCTAAATTTAAATTCCTTATTCTGATACTCAGGACCCTGCCATATCTCCTGCAATTTCTCCATTCAAAACCTGAGTTTTCTTTCACCATTTTTTTCTTATTGTCACCCAGATACCAGAGAGACACATCTTTTCCTCCTTCTTCTCTCCTGTTCTCCATTTGTTTATATTCTACTCTTCCTTTAAGGCCTAACCCAAATTTCACTTTCCCCAGGAAGTTTTTGATTATTTTGGTCCCAGCTGATGTCTGTCTTCTTTGACTTATTTATTTATTCATTCATTCATTTATTGAGACAGAGTCTTGCTCTGTCGCCCAGGCTGAAGTGCAGTGGCATGATCTTGGCTCACTGCAACCTCCACCTCCTGGGTTCAAGCGATTCTCATGCCTCAGCCAACCGAGTAGCTAGGACTACAGGCGTGCGCCAGCATGCCTGGCCAATTTTCAGTAGAGACAGGGTTTCGTCATGTTGGCCAGGCTGGTCTTGAACTTCTGGCCTCAAGTGATCTGCCCGCCTTGGCCTTTCCAAAGTACTAGGATTACAGGAGTGAGCCACTGCACCCCGCCTGTCTTCTTTGACTTATTACTATTTCTTTTTTTGGAGACAGAGTCTTGCTCTATCCCCTAGGCTGGAGTGCAGTGGCGGGATCTCAGCTCACTGCAACCTCTGCCTCCAGGGTTCAAGCAATTCCCATGCCTCGGCCTCCTGAGTAGCTGGGATTACAGGCACCCGCCACCACCCAGCTAATTTTTGTATTTTTAATAGAGGTGGTGTTTCACCATGTTGGCTGGGCTGGTCTTGAACTCCTGACTTCAGGTGATCCACCCGCCTTGGCTTCCCAAAGTGCTGGGATTACAGGTGTGAGCCACCACACCTGGCATGACTTATTGTTATTTATTATTATACAAT